GCCGTACTTCCTTCTCTGTGCTGCATTCAGGTTATTCCCAACAGTTTGATTTACAGCCTTCAGTTCTTCAAGAGTTTGTTTTTCTCTTGTATTGAGTTGATGGTCCTTCTGAGGGAAGGAGAGTGGCTTTCAAGGTATCTTTCACTGCTAACTTAACCTGCTGGGTAGGTTTTGTCACAGAAGATTAAGCTTCACCTATAGTGGCATAGGAAATTAATATAGTAAGGATTCCCAGTTGGAGTGTCCACTTAAGCTTGTCTCCTGTATGGCAGTGTTTCAGCTATACCACTGAAACAGCAGTATTTTTGGGCTGCAGGGCAAGAGATGTGATTCCTACCCTTTGGACCCCGTTTGCAAACAGAAGGCGTCGCTCAGGAGAGGCGGTTGCTCTGCATCTGGAGGGAGACGTGCAGGCACTCAGCGTGTGATGGGATGGAGAACAGTGAAAGGGAGAAAGGAGGGCTGGAGCTGACGTGGCTTTCAGTGCAAGGAAAATGAGCAGTGTGGGACACGGCGTGGTAAGGGCTGACATTTTTCCTGCAGAACGCCATCCCTGCTGTGTGAGGTTAGGGACATCTGGAAAGCACCTCCTCATCACATACGGTTCTGGTTTGAGGTGAGCACAGATGTTCTGCCAGGAGAGGAGGCGCATGCTGGTTCTGGGGAGCACAAGGTGATGTATTTCCACTCTGAAAATCACAGGTGGCATTTCACTGCCTTGCACCTTTGTGTTGGCAGCATTGATGTTTTCATCTGATGAAGTTCCACCAGGCAGGCTTGGTGCTCGGGGACCTGCCAGCACCACCAGCGGAGCCGCAGCGCAATCATTCTGCAGCAGACAAAGGAGGCAGAATTGCACCCAGAGCATTGAACCCAGCCTGCTGTGGCGGGATGGATTGCAGTGACATGCAGTTCAGATGTAGGTACTTCAGTTGCTGATGTGTGAGGTGGGGCCAAACTTAGCATGTGATGTCTCATCTGTGCTGAGCAGTTGAGCTTTCTCCTTTATTTCAGCCCCCTCAGAGCTTTACCACCAGTTGGTCTGGGGAGTGGGACTTGGCTGCAGGCTTTTGCAAGCACAGTTTGTGTGCCACCAGAGCTAGATATTTACCTGTGAGATATTTGTGGTGATAACGACAGCCTGTTGCACCAGTCTCTGCTTGCCACGTGGCACTCGTGGCCGTAGGATGCCATGCTGGCAACCTCGGGTAGGGATAGGATGACTTAAGTGGGGATGTGATGGCTTCACGTGGGGAGGATGGATGTACTGGCCCTGCTCAGCTCCCTGCAGGTGAAGGGCGTGCATGGGAAGCAGCATCCGGATGCCTGCAAATAGCAGGTCTATGAGCCCTCCAGTGGGGGAAAGAGGAAGAGGAGGAGGAGGAGGAGCAGGGGTAGAAGCCCCTGCTGGCGGGGCTGCCCCAGAAGCCGGCCTTCTAGGGGTGGGGCCGCCTTTCCTTTTTGTTTTTTTCCCCCTTTTAGCTCACAGCCCTCCTTGCGGTGAGGTGCAGTGGAGCTGCTCGGTCAGTGCTGAGCCCTGCGTGGTGCCCACGCTGCCGACTCCATGATGGCAGCCGACAGTGGAGCCGGTAGCAGCGAGTGTAAGTGAGCACAGAAGTTTGAGCTTGGTTTGTTTTTTGTGATTATTTTTTTAATTCCAGGTTCCTCCCCCTCCTCTGCTGCAGCAGGGCTCTCTGGGGAAGCTGTGGGGTTGTTTTGTGCTGATGGTGCTCAGGAGCGAGATGTAGTGACTTGATTTAAGCAGGATTTACACGCTGCAGTTTATTTCCTTTTTATTTATCTAGCACCTTTTAACTCAGTGAAAGCAGATCATTTCAGCACGTGCTTAGCCAGCCTTCCTATCCTTCCCCAGTACATGGCCTCACTGGTTTCTTCCGTATGGTGAATGAAATCAGAGGGCACTTCTGTCGGCTTGCACTGGGGTGCTGAGGTGTTTGCTGCTTCTCTGGGTGGGGTGCAGCTTAGGATCTCAGGGCTGTTACCCTCTGGCATGTGGGAGTGGTGGTGAGAGGGGCAGCAGGAGCTCAGCTTCTGTGCTGGGGGAAGGAACAGTGCTCCTGGTTGTGCCAGGGCAGTGAATCTGCCTGAGGGCTGGCAGAGAATGGCTGGGTGCTGGGTAGGAGAGGTGGGATGGGGGCAAAGGAAGCGTGTGCGGCCCTGGATGGGCAGACACCCTGCTTGGAGGCAGCCATGGGCAGCCGTGCATCGTGCTTGGTGAGCAGACAGGCGGTGTGCTTGGAGGACAGACTCACTGCCTGAGGACACTCTCACGTTTTCAGAGTTAATTGCATCACTTTGGGAAAACACAACTGAAGAGCACTCTGCCTGCTGAAAACATTCCCTTTTCTTGCAGTTTGTATTACCAGCTAACGTTCCAAGGAGGTGATTTTGCTTCAGGGATTATCTAACAGAGATCCCAGTTAGTTCTGCTGATGAGGATGCCAACTAAAAGCTGGTAACAAATCCCTCCTTCCCTGCTCTGGGAGCAGGAGGCTTCTCAAGGACAGGTGCTCCCACATACTGCACAGATGCCTCATTTTAGGGTGAAGCTGTGGGCTTGTGCCCTCTTTTTGTGGCCGAGAGCAAAGCTTGCCCCTCAACACCTTATCCCATTGCCTCCCCCCCTTTTGTTGCCATCCACGTGGCGATTAACCCCTCCCTGCACCACTGCTCTTGGTGATCCTTCACACTGCTGCCATGGGAACAGCATTGCCTGTGATGATTGCTGTCACGGTGTAAAACTTAAACACTCGATTTCTTTAGGTGTGCCCTGTGCTGAATGCAATGGGCAGAGATGGGGCTGTGAGCTCAGTGGCTGCAGGGTGGATTTGGGGGCAGAAGCAGGGACCTAGGTTCTTTCATTGGAACAGAAAGCTGGAGAATGCTGGCAATTGTTTTCTTCTCCACTGGGTCTAATTCCTAAAGGAAAAGTTCATAGACTCTCTGAAATGTGCTGGCATTGCTAACACACAGGGGGTGTTCAGGTTGGATATTAGGAACAATTACAGTGCTAATGCATTGGTACAGGCTGCCTGGGGGGGTGGTGGAGTGGCCGTCCTTGAAGATGGAGATGTGGCACTGAGAGACATGATCAGTGGGCACGGTGGGGGTGGGCTGGGTTGCAATTGGGGACTCAGAGATCTTTTCCCACCTTCATGATTCCACATACTGTCCATACTGTACATCACACCTCCTGGACCTGCTCCTCTTTGGGTGACGTGGGGGAACTTCCTTCGTCTGTGTCACGTCTTTATTTTATGGGATTCTTGTGTACCTGGCCTGGTGAATTCTCAGTGGTTTTTCATATTTCAGGACAGGAAAAGTGGTTCGTGCCCCCGACCACAGGCAGCAGCATCCAAACAGAAAACAACAGTACAAAACAGCAGAGTCACAGCACCGTGGAAGCAGTAAGAGCAGGGCTGGGGAGGCAGGGATGTGAGCAGGGGACAGGTCCATGCCTACAGCTGCACTGACCTCATTTTCTGCACGGATTGGCTTGGTTTCAAGCTTCTGTTCAAATAAAAGGTTTGATTTTTGTTGGTTTTTTTTTCTTCCTTCCCGCCTGGATGTGCTTTAGCTGTTCCTCCAGGAGGTTTATTTGGGGGAAGGAGCTGGCTGTTAACTGCCTGCTTTTCTGCAGTCGGACGTTACCCAGTGGTGTGATATTAATGGCAGCAGGGACACGTGGGAACGAAGAGCGCAGTGCTACAAAAGAGCTGGCAGTAATTGAGCACCACGTTTGCTTCAGTTAATGCAGGGACTGCTCCTAATTTGTCCTAGTTTTTAATCCCTAGCTGGATGTATTAGAGGTTAATAAACCAAGTGTGTGCTGACGCTTCAGACCTATAAGGTTTTATGGAACTATTTGAGTTCAGCTGTGCCAGCAGCAGTGTTGTGTCCCGTGCAGAGCTGTAGCTGTGGTTTGGCCTGGAGATTTTGTCTTTGGCATCACCATCCTGCTGGAATGAGTTTCCAGGCAAGCCTCATTGTGCTGCCTGCACTGTTACCATACCTGGTGAGCAAGGATCTGGAGGTTACAATGGGATTTTGCATTTTGAGGCTGCAATTTAAGGGCTGCATTTCCTCCTGCTGAGTGCCCAGGTCGGGGATTTGGGTTTTGCATTTTATTTCCCTGAGAAAAGAAAGTAATTGTCAACCAGGTAGGCTTTGAGATGGCCCAGCGTTAACGCTTGCAAATGGGCAGCCTGGAGCTAGGGGTGCTGAGAGCGCAGGGGGAGGCTTTTTTTGCTCTTCCGAGATGGTTAGCCCTGCAGATGCTTAGATAAAAAGAGCTTTAGACTGCCTATTTTCTGTCTTAAAAAATAAGAGAGAAAAAAGAAAAAGGAAAAAAAGGGGCGTGTGGGAGGTGAGGAGAAGTTTTGTCTTAACCCAGTGTTTGTCATGCAGAGTTCGTAACCCTGAGGGCATTTTATTTGTTTGCTTTTGTAGCATAGGAGGTCCTGCTGGGGGTTGCACCGTCAGGAGAGCAGTCTCATTCATAAAAGCCCATTCAGGCACTCAGAGGTGCTGAACCTCAGAAGAAAAATACACCTTTATTTCTTATTACTGTACCCAGGACAAACCAGAGATGTTGGACCAGAGGTCTTTTCCAACCTAAATGATTGTGGGAGTGGGTTCACAGTGGAACTTGGTGATCTTTGTGGTCTTTTCCAACTTGCATGATTATATGATACCGTGATAAACCCTTGCACATACCTTTATTTTCTATTCTCGTGCCCAGGATGAGGTGCAGAGCCTTGTGCATGATGTGGGGATTTGGTTTTTGCTTGCACTGTGCGTTTGAGGTGCGTGCAAACCCATCACTGAGCGGTGCTCAATCGGGGGGAGCACAGTTACTCTTTGAAACTGCGCTTCGATTGGCTCCTGAGCAAGGAGTGACACACTGCCTAATTTTGGAAATCTATTTACGTGTTTGATCCGGGGCAAAGGAAGAGGCAGGACGTGGAAACGTGACCCTCAGCCTGCAGTGAGGCAGTGGTGCCTGAAATACTGCCCGGTGTTTGCACAAAACCCACCGCCTGTAACGTAATGCCTTCCCCACTCCTACGTGCTCTGTTCTCTCCTGAAACAAGCGGCTTCATTCACACAGCACCTCATTCTGCTTTGTCCTTCCTCCAGCTCTCTGCTGTCATCAGGTGGGCTTCTCTCTGGCCAAATTCTGGCTCTAAGACAGCTGCCTGTAGCCCTGCTCCATCCCAGTGCATCCCAGCGCTGCTCTCTCACCCTGCTGTCCCATAGCAGGAGCTAATGGGAAGGGAAGAGGCTGGACAGAGATCTTCCTTCTCTCTGCAACACTGCTTCCTCTTCTGCAGTACCATCACAAGACAGAGGAAGAGATTTCTGCTTGAACTAAAATCTCTGTGTCCTCGCCAGCATCTTAATGCTGGTTTTGTGCAGCTTTTCAGCAAGAGGAGCAAAAATGCGTTGTTAATTCCTTTACCTTTGTCATAGAATCATACAATGGCTTGGATTGGAAGGGATCTCTGAGATGATTGAGTCCCAACCCCGTTGCCATAGGCAGTGTTGCCAGTCACTAGATCACACACCAGGTTAGGCTGCCAGGGCACCGTCCAGCCTGGCCTTCAGCATCTCCAGAGATGGGGCATCCGCATCTTCTCTGGGATAGGGAATACTAAGCTCTGTTACCCATCTCCCAGCATATACCTACTTAACATCTGTGGTTTAAGTGCAAAGAGTCGTTTCTGGTTGCTATCCTGAGCTGTGTCACAGTGCGTTGGGTTACTGATGCAATGGAAATTTTCACGTCGGATCCTTGACCTCAGTGCTGTCCTCACCCCTTCAGCACTCAGTGTAACTCAGAATATATGAACATCAGCAACAATGGTGTCTCAGAAGTCTTGATTGTAGAATCATAGAATGGCTTAGGTTAAAAGGGAACTTGGAAGGGGTTGGAAATTCCCACTTCAGCTCCTCTGTTCCCGTGATCTAAAAATGAAGCCTTTGGGGCACTAATTCGCATCATTGCGCTGTTCTAAAAGGACTCCTGCCTTCTGCATTGCTCTGTGCTGAGTTCACAGTGTTCCCAACCCCACTAAATCATGTGTGTGCCCTTCGTGTTCCCCACAGCTCGTTTAAACTCAAGGTTTGTGTTTCCTCGTTAAAAAGCCCGGTTGCTGCTGCTGTGAGAATAATTTATTAGCTATTACTAAGCTTTATCATTTGCACACGAGCATGGTAGTGTATTGCTGCTGGTGATAGGTCTTTGAGGAGGTTGCTCCTAATTCTGTTTGCTGATGATTGCTGAAATGGGGACATACCTGGTTGCTGCTGTGCCATCGTTGCGTAGGGTCCCTGCAGGGCTGCACTAACCTACAGCTCCAGTTTCTTTTCCAGAAATTGGTTCTTGGAGTAACTGATGCCTGAGGGCCAATCTGTGAGCCTTTCTGTGCAATAGCTTTGACCATGTCAGCACAGCAATACTGTATTATGAGTCAGAAGCTCATTACATTCAGCAAAGGTCCTGTTGAAAACCTCCTCTGTATATTTGTAGGATATAGAGGGAAAAGGCTGCCTGTGTGCAAATAGAGAGGTTACAGTGTGCTTTTGAGGAGGAAATACCAGAGTCAGATGAGTTTTTATTATTAAGCCGTGTCAGTAACCACTGAGCAATGGGCAGGAAGCTTTTGTATTGTTCATGTAGTTTCCTAAAGGAAAAATTTCACTGGTGCTCTCCGTGGCAGTGCCCAGCACCAGCTTGTTGGGGAGAGGCTGAATGCCAAGGAGTATTTGGGAATTCTGAGCAGTGTGGTACGTGTTAGCTGGGGCTGCTGGGCAGAGCAATACAGCAGTGAGGAGTTCATCATGCTGCTTGTGAAAGCGTTGGGGAACTTAGAAAGATGATGCAGCAAAGTGTTTCCATCTCCTAAGGAACACACTAAACTCCACCTCGTTTTCTGACTGATACCTGCATGATCTTTGCGACATCACCTCTGTTGAAATGACTCCTGTGTGCCGTGCCAGCCGTCAGCACTGTGCTTGCTGTTTGCTCTCGGAGGGTTTGCAGAACTGCCAGCACCCAGGGCTCTGAGCTTCCCATCAGTGCTGTGTCCCTGTGCAGTGGGTGACAGCAGGACGGGTGACACTGGTGGCACAGGGCTACCTGTGCAACCCTTTTTGCTTGCGGGTGTGTTCTTGTTTCTGCCTGATGTTTACGCCTTCTTTCTGTTTTCTTTTGCATGTTTTCTCGGCTGGATTGCAATAGAGAAGAAGAAAATGAGGTGAGTGAAATGTCTTCCTGTTTTGCTCCTGAGATGTGTGTAGTTACCTTCACCAACAAGTTTTATCTGGACCCATGTCTCGAGAAGCTGTCTTGAGCAGCAGCACGAGGCATCTTCACAAATCCGGTGTTTTCCTATGGGTGTCCCTGGGGCAGTGATGAAGTCTGGAGGGAAAGGAACATGCCTGGCACTGCTGATGCCACCTGCACGCAGCTGATCAGGTGTAGGGATATTCTGCTTCCTGCATTGTGATAAAGAGAATGTTTAAGGATTTCATCTGGGGAAAAAAGGAGTTTCATTGAGTGTGGCCCAATTAATGTTAGGGGAAAGGAGAAAACCTCCAGGGGTAGGAACACTTGATAATACCCCAGTGAGTGCCTGCAGAATGGTGCTGCTGATAGTTGTTGATGTGGTAGGACCATTTCTGCTCTGACTGAGCTTACTGTGTGTGCTGCTGTGGTGATAGGAAAGCTGCAGGAGTGCTCATTCATCCCTGCTGAAGGCTCAGAGTGAGCATCTGTTGCCTACCCTGAGCTGCACGACACTCACAGCAGCGTTCCGAGGAGCGTTTGCTGCCTGTAAAACATTAAAGCAAGGAGAACTTGTCTACTGTTTCGCCAGTAATTGCTCCCTGTTCCATTTCAAAAGCTACCTGTGGGATATTTTTTAAATTTATGGAAGTTGTAGTTTTTCAGCTTGGTGTTATTTAAGAAGAAATCCCTGGAAGGCTGAGCAGGAGATTGAAACATTTGTTCTGAAAGGCATCGTCCCTGCTGAATAGATATGAAAAGCAGAGGAGTGGAAGTTTAGCAGCTCTTGCATCCCCTCCAGCCTTTGTTTCTTGTACAGGTGGATGTATCCAAACCCCATTATTCATCTGTAAGCTCAGATTTCAGCTCTGCAGCACTGAAAGCTGGGAAGTTTTTGATCGAAACACTGACATATTTTCATAACTGTGGGTGATTTTGCACACAAAATAATTTCACAGAAGTTTTAGTAAGAAAACTCTTGAGTGCTGATGTACTGGTTGGGGTAGAAAGGTTTGAATTTTCTGGTTGTGTAGGGCTAATAAGCAACCCAACACACTCACAGAATGACACTGCCTTGTTATTTGGGAGACTGTGCCCAGCATGTTATGGAAGGCTGACCTCTAGCATTGAACATCTCCAAGCTCCTGCCACGTGGACAGAACACTTGTGCTCCAGTGAACTTGTTCCTATACATTTATGTATTAGACTGTTGTTAGGTTAAAAAAATGGATCATTTCTGAAAACAGAGATTATTTTCAGCAGCCTTTCTATTGAATATGGGGCAGCGTTGGAGAAGAGATGGTGTGGAGATGTCCTGTCCACAGGGTCACCATTTGGATGCCCTTTCAGCAATGGCAGTCACTTAAAAGCCCCCACAAAGTGGCACCCATTTTAAAGGAGTCAGAGTTTTGGTAAAGAAAAAAGTAGAAGTAGCATGGGGGGGAGTTTCTGTTCTGCTGACATCTTACTTAATAATTTACCACGGTACCTTTAGCTTTAGCAACTCTGCATTGTTTTACAAGAGTTAAACGATAACAAAGTCCATAATCCTTCAGAGTGGGTGCAGGAAGCCACTGCTGCAGCCAAGGATGTGTTCATGCAATAGTTGTGGAGTAGAACTTACTGTATGCACTGTTCAGACTGCTCGAACAGTCCTCATTGAGTTGTGCTTCTTGCACAAAGAGTCATTACATTAATGCAATCTGGATTTGTGGGGATAAGGAGTATCGACAGAAACACCCTTTCAACACAATGGGACAACATTCATCCTTAGGGACTGTGCTATCGTTACGCTGCGGTAGATAGTGATAGAGTCTGTGCAGAGACAAGCCCAGAGCTTAAAAACAAGTGGGCACGTGCCAAGACAAACAAACACACTGTGCTTTTTGCTCTGAAAGCTGCTAATCTCGGGCTTTGATAAATGCATTCTGAAAGGGAAGAAGCTCCCATGTTGAGAAGAGCTTTGTTGCTCTAGGTTTGTGCCATGCCCAAAGTGACATCTCAGTTGTGAGTGTCCTAGAGGAGGTGGCTTTCAGCTCAGTGGTGTCCCAGTCTGTCAGGCTTGCTGGGAAGAACTCCTCAGCAGTACAGCAGATCCCTTAGGTGAGATGCATATCTAAGGCATTAGGGTCCATCAGCTCAGAGGTGGCAGTCACGTGTGGCTGGGTGCAGGTGGAAGTTCTGCTGGCAGTGATGACAACTGGTCAGTGCGTGATGTGACCTCCTTGTTAGCCTGGATGGGACTTAGGGCTGCAGCAGCAGGTCTCAGTGACCTGATTGGGTCAGGCACCAAATATACCCAGGTACAGTATCCTAGATGTGAGAACACATGTCAAGCTTAAAAGCATAGGATGTTTTGTAACCAGAGACCACAGAAACAGAACAAATAAAGTAGCGGTCTCTCTTCAATTAATTTTATGTGTTGAACCCTATTGTTCTTTTTTTTTTTTTTTTTTATTTTTTTTAAAAAAAAAAAAAAAACAACTTTGATTCTTTGAGTTTGGTTATTAATAAATCAGTTAAAAAGCCTCAGCCTGAATCCCAAAGGTGGTCTCCCAAAAGGAGACTCAAAAGGAGCAGATAATTGATTTTGGTTAAAAGAGAGGCAGGCCGTATGGCTGTGCTGCCCCAGACTTCAGCCCAGGATATCAATTTCTATTTTATCATCATAAAAAATTCACCAAGTGAAAGAAAACTGTTCAGTACTTGCGTAGAACAGAATTTAAAAATAAACATTTCTACTAATGGCATCTTTTTTTTTTTTCTTTTTCTTTCTTTTTCCAGAGCAAGACTGAAACCGTGCAGAAAGCTGGCTTTATCAAAGGCCCAGTGTTCAAAGGTGTTGCTTCTAGTCGTTTTTTGCCCAAAGGCACCAAAACGAAGGTTAACCTTGAGGAGCAAGGAAGACAAAAGGTGTCTTTCAGCTTTAGCTTAACCAAGAAAACCTTACCGAACAGATTTCTGCCCGGTCTGGGAAACGAAAAACAAAATGAAACTCCGAACTCCGCAGCAGTACCCACACAGACTGATTTTAACCCCAAAATTAAAATGGACCTTGGGGATGCTGCTGGTTCAGCGGAGGAGTCTTCACCTCCAAAACCGAAGGTAGAACTGGGGAAAATCCATTTTAAGAAACATTTACTCAGTGTCACAACCAAACCCCTCCCGCCAGCTGCAGCAGCAACTTTACTGCCGCCGCCACCGGCTCTGGCACCGGTCACAGAACCAGTGGCAGCGGCCGCCGACCTTCCATCGGCACCTCCACCAACGGCATCACCAGCAGCACCAATGCCTGTCCCTGCTGCAGCAGCCTTGCCGCAGCTGCCCGTCACGCTCATGTCGACGCTGTTGCTGTCACCGCCTGCAGAAGCAGAAGTCCCGGCTTCGAGGGAGCTGTGTCACGTAGTCACGAAGGAGGCTCCTGAGCTGGACCTGAAGCAGGATGTGGTATCGCACGGGTTGGAGGAGCACGTGACTCGACACGTGGCCGAGCAGGTGGAAGTAACTCCACAGAAGGAAGATTCCCATATTGGGAAAGATGATGAGGTTTCAGAAAGCTCCAAGGGTGCTTCTCTGTGCTCTAGGAAACAGGGCTCCAAAAGGAAGTTCTCCCAGTCCGATGGCACGTTGCTGGGCTCTGAGTCTGATGAAGATTCTGTGAGGACTTCTTCCAGCCAGCGCTCGCATGAGCAGAAGATATCCAGTGCAGAAAAGGAGAGGGATCCCAGGAAAAGCTCTTCCTCTCTCAGAGGCGAAGAACTGAAGTCCTCCTCACGCTCCAGATCGGACAGAGATGACAAGTATTCCAGCTATTCAAAATCAGAACGAGATTCGCGGTATGCGTCCTCCCGATCGCGGTCAGACAGAGAGAGAAGGCGAAGCCGGTCCCACTCTCGGTCCCGCTCGGATCGGAGCTCCCGAACCAGCTCTTCCTACTCGAGGTCGGAGCGCTCGCATTACTACGAATCCGACCGCAGGTATCACCGCAGCTCCCCGTACAGAGAGAGGACGAGGTACTCGCGCTCGTACGCAGACTCCAGGGGGAGGGAGAGTTCTGATTCGGAGGATGAGTACAGAAGGACGCATTCCAGGTCCAGTGACTCGAGGCGGACGTCGTCCCACTCCTCCTCGTACAGAGAGTCAAGGACTTCTTACTCGAAGTCAGACAGGGACAGCAAAGTAGAGTCATCTCATGCTGACGTGGAGAGGAGAGGAAAGTCTTCTTCAAAAGCAGATAGAGATTCAAAACGGACTTCAGAAAGTGAAGTAACCAAAAGGTGCTCTCCCCTTAACGAGCTCGGGTATCGAAAGGGGACTTCCCATTCTAAGCCTGACAGCAATGTGAATTCTTCCCGTTATAAGTCCACCCCTTCAAAGACCCCTGCACCAAAGCCTGATAAATTTAAAAGTTCTTTCTGTTGTACAGAATCAGTTGAAGAAATAAAACAGCCGTCTAATTCTCTAGATTTAGAGACCTCTTGTTTAAAAAGCAGTGAGATCAGAGTGTCCATTGCAAAAAGATTGGAAAGGGAAAAGACGCTTTCTCCATTAAATCAGTTAAATGATTCCCCCACTTTTAAAAAGACAGATGAATCAAAAGCTGCTTTCCCTCACTCAGGGTCTGAGGAACTCGCAGGCAATGAATGCCGTGACAGTGTTAAGGAACAAGAGACTTTAGTAAGGGTAAAGCACGAGCAACTGAGAACATGTTTCCCTGTAGAAATGAATATAAATGGGTCCCCAGAGGGTAGCTCTGACGATGTGGCGGCTCCCAGTGCCTCCAAAGCAGAGGATGTCGCAGTATCTTCTGATGATAGTTTGTGCAGGTTGGAAGCATCACACACTGGGAGGACGAGCAGCTCGTATCCGCTGCCGTCGAATGGATTTGAGGGCACGTACGCCCCTCAAGAGCACGAGCCTGATGATTCTCACATACAGTCCAGCGAGTGTAGCAGCCTGTTCAAGGAGGAAGAGGCTCTGGTCCTGGAGCAACAAAGTGAAGCTATGCCTTCAGCAGTTGTGAATGTAGATCATTCCAAAATGTCAGTGAAGAAGCTGGATGATCAGGCAGCTCCCTGTGACGAAACCAAAGAACCAGTTTTTTGCTACGTTTCAGATGATGCCGCTCCTTCTTTGTATCATTCAGAAGTTGAAATCGAAGTTGAACCAGCAGATGTAAAAGTGACTTCCGAGGCATTTCTGGACTTGCACGTTGAACCGCAGACGGTGACGTGCGACTATGAAAGCACAGAGGATCCGAATTCAAAGTCTGCATGTGAAGAGGAGCAGTATCACATTAACCCACCCCATCAAGCTGGCCTAGCTGTGGATAGTTCAAGCAGGGATTCTGCCCAGGACTGCTGTTCACCCGGAATCACGCAGGACTGTCCTGTTACTCAGCATCTGGAGGAAAACATCCCCTCCGAGGGGGACAGGGCCCCGCCGAGCTGCTCGGGCGCTGGGGAGATGCTCGAGTTGGACGTTCGGCACGTTGACCTGAACTCAACGCAGGGCAAGCTGTCACTCAAGGATGAGCATTCCTATTATTCCCAAGTGCCACTGGAACGCTGCAGCAGAGAGGAGGCAGTGGAAGAAATGGCCGTTACTACGGAGAGAGTTGGTCCTGATGATCTGAATGAGCAAGGCCAGGGAGCGTCTGCCGAGGATGACGGAGGGAATGAGCCCTTGGTGGCTTCAGCTTTTCCAGACGCTTCGTTTCCATCTTGTGATGTTGTGGTGGCTGCGGAAGAACCAGAAGCCGTAACGCAAACCCCAACGTGTGACAGCAGTGGTGGCGCTTCCGAATTCGCTCCCGCCCCCCATGATGACTATTCTGACACGGCTGAAAGCGACAGCGAGCCGGGCAGCGACGACAGTGAGACAGAGGATTCTGATTCAGATGATGGCGTGCCACGGAAGCGGCTGCAGTCTGTTGTGGTTGTCCCGAAGAACTCGAGCATTGTGATGGAGGACAGCAGCCCCTGCTCCTCGCGGAGCAGCCAGGGCACGCGGCACTACTCCGACCATTGGGATGTCGAGAGGCCAGAACCAAGCAGGCCCTACTATGAGGACAGGCCAGAGGCTACAGTGAGTAACAACGGGTCCCAGGCTGAGAGCAGGTGCTCTCCGAGAGGGATGGACAAGAGTCCGGCCTCATCTACTGAGCTCAGCAGGAAAGATGGCGAAGAGCTGCGGGCAGACGTCTGCCAGGCGCAGAGTGATGGCGTGGACAGCACGAGCCAGGCAGATCTGGCGGTGGATTCTCAAGGCAAACCCAACCCAGACGAGAGAATGCTTAATGAGCTCATGTCCATCAGTCGGCCGCTTGGCCGGCAGGAGGAGCAGCCATTTTGCGTGCCTGAGAGCTTTGAGGGCACCGATGAGTCTTGCCATCAGATGAGCTTTTCTAAGCCAGACAGCTGGCAGGGGAGTGGGGGTCTCCATCAGTCTGGCCTCGGAGACTGCTCCAGGGAGGACGGTTTTCATCCAGGGGAGGGAATGGGTGGCGTGAGCTGGGAGCTGCAGGCAGAGAAGCCCAGCAGCACCTATCAGCAGCCAGATAGCAGCTTCGGGGTCTATTCGGGCTATGTGTACCAGCCAGGCACAGGAGCCTACAGCAGTTCTCAGAACTGCTGGCAGGGCAATGGCTACTGGGATGTGAGGTCTGCTGGGCGGCCTGCTGGAGGCAGCTATGAACGAGTTCAAGGACAAGTGCCGGATTCTCTAACGGAGGATCACGAGGAGTACGAGGATGACCGCTGGGATGATGAGTGCAAGGCTGGCTTTCCCAGCCCCTCCAGTAAGTTCCACACTCCCGGGCAGAAAGAAACGGGCTCTGTGCAAGCCCATGAGATCAGCAGCAACTCGAGCAAGGAGCCGGTGTCCGGTGCTGAGAAAAAGGAGGAGGTGAAGTCTTTGGAAAAGAACGACGTGAAGGAGCGAGGCCCTCCCAAAAAACGACGGCAGGAGCTGGAGAGTGACTCTGAGAGCGATGCGGACTCCAGGGAGAGGAAAAAGGTGAAGGTGGAGGGTGAGCAGGAGGTGGCACCGCAGGACTCCTCCATGGTCGGCCGCCCGTGCATCATGGACGACTTCCGCGACCCGCAGCGCTGGAAGGAGTTTGCCAAGCAGGGGAAAATGCCCTGTTACTTTGACCTCATTGAGGAAAACGTCTACTTGACAGAAAGGTAACTGGAGATTTTTTATTTTTCTTTTTTAATTTTTGCATATAACTGTTCTAGATTGCAACTTCTGTTAGATTCTGTGATAGGTTTCTTAAGGCCATGCTAGCAACTGGTACAGCAGGGAAGAGGCACGTCACATTTCCTGCATCTCTGCACTGCTCTTAGAGGACAAGATGCTGTACCAGAGCTGTAACCACGCTGGATCTTCTCCCAGTGATGGGCCCAGAGAGATGCTGGGGATGGGAGAGTGCAGGAGAAGAATCACTTCTAAACTGTGTATCTTGTTCCATGTGGCATCCCCTGTAGTTCCTGTGATGAGGGTTGCAGGAGGGATTTGCTCACCTGAGATTCCTGCCATCAGCACTGAGTAAACACTTTGTTCTTGTACCCATGCTAATTTGCAGAAGTGATTTTCTTCCAATATTTTCTTCCTTTTTTTTTTTTCTTCTTTTTTCTGCTCTCTCTGCTCTCTCATTCATGTGAACATGGTGAGACCACGTTAAAGCCCAGAGCAATGTATAGAAGCATCATCTCTGGGCTTGTCTGCATCTGTTCAGTGTCCCCAAAGGGAAGTCAGGACGTGGGAAAAGTTTTGGATATGTATTTTGGATATGTGCCTTTCCAAAAGCTTTGGGTAATTGCATGTAATGATTTGTCATCTCAGACAAGTTAGTTCAGCTCTGGCAGCTGTGATTTAAATTAGCAGACGGTAATGATCGTAGATTATCCTTTAGTGGGAATATTGACCAGGGTGGGGACCTTTGAAAGAAAAGTCTTAGTTCAGAACTGTGGGGTTATTCAATAGGAGCATTGCTTCAGAGCTCAACAACCTCCATCTGTGCCAAAAAATACTCCCTCTGGAGTTAGAATGCAGGTAAGAGTCCTTAACAAGTCTGTAACCAAGTCTTATTCTTTGTGCAGCCCTTCTGATAATTCATGCCCATTTAAAACCTTTGCATTTTTAACATCATCTTATTTGACAGTAAAACAGATTTAATTAGCTAAACCATTCAGTTTGCTGTGTTAAAATTCATCTGTTTTAAAATGATATGTGTGCTCTCTAGTGGTTTATATGTTAAAATTATAGAACATAGATTTTCTCCTGGCTTTGTATCAGAGAAACCAAAGAAAGCATTGAACTGGAAGGGAGCTTTTGGAGATTGTTTTCATGGCATTATTTATGCTGATAGAATATAGTATTTCAAGAGAGGCTAATCAAAGCCTCCTATCTTTCTAATAAAAACCTTATAATTTGTCCCATGTGGTGAGAAATCTAGCTGTAAGAATCAAGAGTGGCTTCCCTGGAGCTTGGCTTTTTTTACTCGTAAGACAAAATAAAGGGTTTTTAGTCCAGCCTCTGTGTGTGGGGGTATGTGTGTACACATCTATGTTGATAGTAAAACTGAGTTGTGTACATTAAGGATAAGTGAAAGCTAAATATCCTGGGATGGCTTTCTGAGAAACAACCTGACGTGATCAGAAAGCCATCACCTCCTGCTTCAAACCGTGGCCGTAGTTACCCAGAGGTTCTCTGTGGTTGTCCAAAGATAAGTCCAGTTTCTGAAGGATAAATTCATTTCCTTCAGTAACGATTGATAAAAGATTGATTTCTGTACCTGAATAATGTCTTAACTCTTTGTCAATGACCTGTCTTCAACAGAAAGAAGAGCAAATCCCACCGGGATATTAAGCGGATGCTGTGTGAATGCCCTCCTCTCTCCAAGGAAGAACGAGCCCAGGGGGAGGTTGCTTGTGGAGAAGACTGCCTGAACCGCCTGCTCATGATCGAGTGGTGAGTTGGCCAGTCAGCCCCTGTGGAGCACGAGGTGACTTGGGAGCACCTGGAGGAATTCACACCTTTCTGGTTGCTGGCCACAAGCTGTCATCGTGCTCCTGTTTTCACTGACTAGTGTGGATTCAGCTTCAGAGCCTGCAGAGAGCATTTAAATCTGACCTTAGGTCTTCCAAACTGAGTATTTTTCTTAGTGGTCTCCTGTAAAACTGACTGCCAAGGCCTGGAGTCCTCTGCTCCTGGGGCTTAATTCGACCTGGTTGTAAGCATGGCTGGTGGGAGAGTGTCAGAAATGCAAGTACTGCTCTCTGTGAGTTGCTAATTTTCTTTCATTTTTCCTTGTGCATCTGTGCTCTCCCCAGGGCCATGCAGGCCACTGCTATCATCTTATTTCCCCTCCTGGTTGGGATTGGAAGGCCAAGGGAGCTATTGCCTACATGAGGAGGAGGCAGGGAAGGGTGCCTGGGGCTGAGGTTGGTAGGCACAGCATGCAGGTCATAAAGCTGGGTGGAAGGGTAGAAGTTAGCTGCCCTTAGTTAATTTAGCCCAGATACAATAAAATAGGAGATCATGAGATGAGAACTCATGGAAATATGGAGAGAATTAGCTAGTTCAGCCCACTTTGATTATACAACGTACAAGTGCAGTAGCATTTGCATTGGAAATGTTTTTATCTTCTTTCCAGAAATAGTCTGCATTTACATGTTGACAGTCAGATGGTTATACTTTTTATAGCAAAACACATTTGAAAGTTTTACACTGAGTTTATTATGGTTACATGGCATCTCCTTCCCATCTCAGCTGTTCCTGTTGCCCATGTTGTGACGATGAGAATTGAGTTGTTCCATTTCCTTCTCCTAGTTCTTCCAGGTGCCCAAATGGTGACTTCTGTTCCAACCGACGCTTCCAGAAGAAGCAGCACGCAGATGTTGAAGTAATCCTTACTGAGAAGAAAGGCTGGGGACTCAGAGCTGCCAAAGATCTCCCATCGTAAGCTTTTGCTCTTTGGATGATGTAGTTGTGCTGTTTGATTCCTTTGATTCCCTCGTGCATGGGAAATAAGTTGCTGATGTTATCCTTGCAGTTTTACATGCTGCCCTCGTGCTCTGTCAAGGGTTCCTCTCAGTTACCTGCACCTATTTGTCCCAACTGTGCATTGGATCACCCACTCTGGTTTTACTCTCTTCCACCAAAGTTTACTAGAGTTCTCAGTAGGGTTTTTGGCAGGCTTGCCTCTACTTTCCTCTTGTATTTAGTGTGTTCCCTTCTCCCTGTCACTTGGCTTAAGAGGAGCATGTTCTCTTTGCATCCATTTTCTTCACCACCTCTAAGCTTACCCTCTTGTTGAGTCTGCTTCCTTCCATGAAGGACTACATGGAGAACCCATGGGGCTTTTCCTCCCTTGTTAGTCCATCCTTAGCTAACTGCTGTTCTTCTGAGTGCTTGTTTTACGCTGGTGGTGCTCACAGTTCCAACTCTGGTTTTGACTTGTCTACATGGAGCTGAACCCAGATGTTAACTCGCACACCATGGCTGGCTGCATGCTGTTACCTTGAGTCTGACACAAAAGAACTACCAGGGCCTGAACACCAAAGTTGCAGTGTGGATGAACCCATCTGCTTCCTCCTAGGCTGGCAGCAGAATGGATGCCAGTATTTTTGGAATTCCAGCTCTGTTCTGAACCTGGCACACTCCAAAGCTAAGTGGGAGGAAGCATAGTGCCGGGTCCATTTTCCTGTGCAGGTGTGGTGCAGGGAGCAGGCATGGGACAGAGGTAGGACAGACCGAGGAGGTGCTGGGAGCCTTTGCCATGGTGCCTTCATATCATCACAGCAGTAAAAAGAGCTTTGGGTAAGGCCTCCAGGAACAGAATAGCAGCGTGTATGTCTGAGCCTGGATGCACTCTGGAATTGTCATGCAGGAATCAGATGTGAAGCTCAGCAGATGAGTAACAAAAGGCTTTGTAGGACAGCTCACCTTGCTGTGAGAAGCAGTGCTGTGCACTGGGAGTTTCACCAGGCTCTGATTTGCATTTCAGAAAGCTGTGGGATGGGCATGGTGGGCCTGTTCAGTCTCAAGGGCATGAGGGACTGTGATCTTTAAGTCAAGAGTTTAATTGTGCAAAGGTTTACTGTAACTCAGGTTATTTTAGTGAGTTTCTGTGGAGACTGATTTTTTTGCGTCAGGGAAAGACAGATGTCTGGTAAGGAATCCAGGATTGGGTTCTGGCACTCTTGGAAAACTGTAGATCTTTTTTTACTGCTGTATTAAATACGTGAGACTAATTAATAGAATTGTAGAGTCGTGTAGGTTGGAAAACACCACTGAGATCACCAACCCCAGCCCATCCCACCATGCCCACTGATCGTGTCCCCAAGTGCCACATCTCCATGGTTCTTGAGCACTTCTGGGAGTGGTGACTTCACCATTTCCCTGGGCAAAGACAGTGAGAATTGTAGCAGCAGAAGGCAGATATGGGGGCTCTCAAAGCCAAAGAGGGGTGATGCGGCCAGAAGGAGACCACTGCCACCTGGCTGGGGATGGTCAGGGACATTTCTAGCTCTGCTCTGCTCTCCTCCTGCCCTCGGGTTTCCAGGCTTGGAGTTCTGTGGGCAGGAGTGCTCCATCCAGCGGGGAGCTAGGCAGGGGCTGCTGCCTTCTGCTGTTTAAGCACAAGGGAAGAGAGTTGAAGGATTCAGGGTGGCATTAAGCAAGGGAAAATGTAGGACAAGTAGCTTAGCAGTGTGTTGTGATAGGCTGGGGTTGGGGTAACTGGTTGTGCTCCTCCATCTCTGCTTGAAGTTTCATCTTTCCTAGGATCAAAAAGGGCTTTTTATCAACCCCACGTTTTGTCCACCATATCAACAAGGTGCAGGCAGGTTTTCCATTTCATTTTAGGAAAACCATCCAGCAGCAGTGTATTTCCTTAACTTTCTTTGTTGTCCTCTGCACATTGCCCCCCAAATTTGGTTCTTTTAGAGAACAATCATTGCTTGTAGGGAAGTGTTGTTCTTGCCTCTGGGCCTTTCACTCTGATGCTGCTGGTGGTTCGAGTGTCAAAAATGAGTTAATCTGAACGGCCTGAGATGAGAGCTGGTACAGAGTGCTGTACCAAGAGGACAAGCTTGTCTCAGTAGCAGTTAATTTCCATTCTCTGGTGCTAATGAGTGATGCTTTTTCCCCCTGTGCTTTCCAGAAACACTTTTGTGTTGGAGTACTGCGGAGAGGTGCTGGACCACAAAGAGTTCAAGGCACGTGTGAAGGAATACGCCCGCAACAAGAACATCCACTACTACTTCATGGCTCTGAAGAACGACGAGGTGAGCAGGGAGCCCACCAAAATGCTGGGCATCCGGAGGGGCTGGCTGGTGGGCTTAGCCCCAACTCAGTGTGAGCACCCAGTGTCCTCAGAGCAGGTGCTGTGGGAGAAGAGAATTTGTCTTTCTGTCCAGCAGCTTTGGAAAGGATGGAGTGATGGGCTCTGCTGGGAGAAACCACACCTCTGTGAGGTGCTTGGAACTGAATTTATTTACTTATTGGTTACCAAAATAAACCAGTCTAAGAAACGCATCAACAGGAATCCAAGTTTTCTTACTTCCCCAGTTTACAGAAGTAACTTCATTGGTCCACCTTGAGCCAGTAGAGTCCTCACCAGAAGTTCTTCATGTACTTCAGCTTATCAGCAGTTTGGGGTCTGTGGAGTGATGGAGCTGTGATGCAGAGCTGTGGCACTGCCTGCCTTGAGCTCTGGCTCGCTGGGAACAAGGGATATAAATAGAAATGCAATACCCAATTCTGCTCATCACTTCTGTCGAGATTTTTTTGGGTCTTGGGATTTTTACAGTAAATGAACTAAAAATACTCCCAAGTTCTTTTTTTTTTTTTTTCTTCTTCCTTTTTTTGCCCTCCACGTAAGCAGTTCTGGTAGGTGCCATGGGATTGTGATGTGATCACAAGGCGTCCTGCCCAGCTAAGAAAGGAAGAGCACAGTGATCCATGGGGCAGTCTTCCCATTAAAGCACAGTCTGTGGGGCTCCACCAGCCCTGATACCCATACTCTGTATCAGAGGGTCAGAAACTGATGCTGCAAACTCAGAATCCCCACCAAACCAAAGAACTCAGTATCAGTCTGTAACGAGAACTAAGAACCACGTACCATTTCTTCTTTTTGAGGGGCACTTATTATCCCTATGAAATCCATTCTCTCCCAGTTAAATAATGCTAACAGTGCAGGAGGAAAGGGTGGTGACTTTGGCAGTGATCACGTTCTCCTTCAGCCGTGCTGTGTTTCCAGATATGCTGCTCAATATTTCTGCCTTGTGCCTAGGGAGGGCAGTCTGTTTTCTTATATTTGTTATTTCCTTTCCAGATAATAGATGCTACCCAGAAAGGAAACTGCTCTCGTTTTATGAACCACAGCTGTGAACCAAACTGTGAGACACAAAAGGTAAAGTGCTGGATCAAAGCTGCTGCTGCTGCCTCTCACTTGGCTGCCCTGTGACTTAGCAAGCTCCAAGTGAAAGGCATTTCTCCTTTATCTTTCTGTCTCTTTGTTTTTTTTTGATGTAGCTTCTTGTTAGTCAAATATAAACAGCCACCATTGAAATGGGCAAGTATGGCGGGCTCAATTAGCAAAGCTTAAATGTAACACTGTTGCTTTGAGGATTTGTCTTGCTAATTTCATGCAAAAAAAAGAAGCCAAGCCTGGCTGTTTCAATAACCATTGTCACTTTTTTTTCCTTGCCTTAGTGGACTGTGAATGGGCAGCTCAGAGTTGGGTTCTTCACCACCAAGCTGGTCCCCTCGGGCTCCGAGCTGACCTTTGATTACCAGTTCCAGAGATACGGGTAGGTTCCAGCTCTCCCTCTGCTTCAAGTGTTGCAAGTTACAATTTTTGTGAGCATTGATGCAGTGAAGAAGTCATGCTCCAAAGCAGAGCCTCATCTAGCAGAACAGTTAGAAATCAACAGGAATTCAACTGCATGAAATACTTCCTGGATAAAGTTTCTCTGTTTCAAACAGAAGAGATTTGAAATCACTTTCTTTTCTTTTTCTCCCACTTTATACCATCTCTCCCCAATGGAAACTTCCCAGATAATGATCTGACTGTTTCTTTCCTCAATCTAACTATTAATTGCCTGAGCTTTAGACTTTGCCATGTTCTTAAATAAAGCCTCTTCATTCTTTCCCACCCACTACTGTTTTACAACTTTGCAAATACTTGCAAGAGCTGTGAAAGCCCAACAGATAGCACATTCCTTCTCTCTGTCTGACTGCACATGTGCAGAGTGCAGCGTGGGCTTTGCTCTCGTGCACTTGAGCTCAGTATTTTCTATTGCTGCTCATCCAGGCATCCTGCAAAGTATTTCACTCTCTTTGACGTGATTAGCACAAAATGGCATCTAGCTGTTTTGAAACGTGCAATTATGAGATTAGCTGTAGATCTGTTGTATAATCCCTGGGCATCTTTACCAAATACTGTTTTTTTTTTATGAGCGTTTCTTCCTTCTGGATCCTGCTTTCTGCAGCAATGTAAGGGTCAGAGCTGAGTTTTTAGTTGTAGGTTGATTCGTGCTAAGGTTCAGATACTGCCATGTAGTTTTCTGTTCCAGGTGGTAGTCAGGCATAGACCATAGAATCACTGAGGTTGGAAAAGACCTCTGAGGTCATCAACCCAACCCATCCCCACCATGCCCACTCACCCATGCCTGGTAGTGCCACATGTGCTCCTTTCTTGGAAAGCTCAGATCTCTGAAGATGAGACAGGCCTGATGGCTCATTAGAATCCCCAGGTGGGATTTGTCTGCCTGGATTTGCTTATCAGAAAGTGCATCAGCCCATGCAAGCTATCATGGAGCTACGTGCTGTGAATGGTGGGGGCTAGGCCTGGCTAGGGGCTGATGGTCTTACCCTAAAGGTAGGTGGCCTAGTGCCCAATCAGCCCAGGTTCCAAGTGGCTGCTCATTGCACTCATCTTCCACCTGGTCTGGTCTTTTGCTGTATTGGCTGACTTGGTATCTCCTGTATTTGAGGTCAGTCTCTCTAGTCTCTGTCTCATTGGAGTTTTCAGATCTCGTCTCACATGTCTCCTTCCTCATCTTCTGCTTCATATAAGACACTGCAGCTTCTCTGTTAGTTACTGCTGATACTGCATGGCCAACTTCCTCCAGTCAGTTCTGCATGTCACACAGAATGATAGAATCATTAAGGCTAGAAAGGATCAACTCTGATCACCAAGTCCAACCATCAGCCCATCCCCACTACTCCAATCAAAAGACATGCTCTCAAGCAGTTCTGGCATATCATAGAATCATCATAGAATCATTGAGTTGGAAGGGACTCCATCTGGTCCAACTCCCCTGCAACAAACAGGGGGCACCCACAGCTCGATTAAGCTGCTCAGAGCCCTGTCCAGCCTGACCTTGAATGTCTCCAGGCATTGGGCATCCACCACTGTGCAATGTTGGTTGATTGCAAGGTGTGATGTGAGGTTAATGGATCCAACTCTCCAGCCTTTTCCTTTCTGGATTTTACATCTTGACCTGGCCTGGAAGTGTACCAGGCTTTGGCTTTCTGTGGAAACAACAGGGAATCACAACAGCTGGTTAAGAATTGATGGGTTTATTTGAATTTTTAGTGGTGGAATGAAAGGCCTCGCCGTGCAGGAAGGCATGGAGCTGAGAACTGTGCGAAGAGCAGAGAACTGGGGAAGTAGCAGTCTGGATCTGGGCAGCCTGGCTTTGCAAGACAGTGCAAACCATCTGCGAAGATGGGATGTGAATGTTTTCCATATTTCCTTCTAGCTGCTTAGCAGGAATTTGAAGAACAATGGAAAGAAAAAGAGACGAAGAAGTGCCAGAAGTGTCAAGGCAATGTGGTTAATGGTCTTTCCTCACTGCAGTATCAGGATTAAGATACGACAACGGGCCGTGAGTGCAATGGATTCCTTATTTAACTGTGTGTTACTTCTGTCCCCAAACAGCAAAGAAGCTCAGAAATGTTTCTGTGGCTCAGCCAACTGCCGGGGCTACCTGGGAGGAGAGAACAGGGTCAGCATCCGGGCTGCAGGGGGGAAGATGAAGAAGGAACGCTCCCGTAAGAAGGATTCGGTGAGTGGGATTCACCTGGGTGTCTGGGTTTTTTTTGTTGGTTTTGTCACTGAAACACAGCACTGTTGAGGACATTACCTGAAATTGGACAGCTAAAATGCTGCCATCCTCAAGCTGGGATGTGAAATCTGAACCTGTAATTGCTTTGGCCTAGAGGCAAGTCAGCGCTGAGGAGCTTGTGTGAACAAGCACTGTGTTCTCTCTGAGTTAGTTCCAGTTGTGTCTGTAGCTGGATGTGAATGAAATAAGGGATTGAAATCCAGTCTTTTTAAAGCCTTTTTATAGCTCCTCATGCATATAAACCTCTTCAAGTGGTTACATGAGCCTATTCTCTGCCCTGAATGGCACTCATGGATTTATGAATGCAGGAAGCAGTCAGGACGAGTTCTTAGAAGCACTTTACACTCAGGAAGAAGTGATGTGCACTCCTTTTAGCTCCTACAAAACAGAATTTTTCTCTTCCTGAGAAAAGAAAGCACCATTCCTACCAGTAGCATTTGTTACCTGCTCCTTTGGGAGGTGCTGCCTTTGAAAATGCCAGCTTCATTTTTGCATGCTGAAATCCTGAGAGTCAGGAAGCCAAGAAATCAGAAGTCATTTGTAAGTGGTTCTAACATGCTTATTAGTGCCACTGAGCAGCGAGCTAAACAGGGAAGGTCGGTGTTTCAGTGTCTGCATGGAGAGCAGTGCAAACACTGGTCGTGGTTATAAATGTGAATTGGATGTTTAAGGAATCATTGCAGTTAAACAGTTACGGTCATTTGGTGCACATCTGTTTTCCTGTGTGAAAAGGTAAACTTCCAAGTAGAAGCATTTTGGGCACACGCTTGGAAATTCCCCTGCAGAGCACTGTGCACATGGCACGGATGTATATATGCATCTCAAATGTGCTATTCATTAGGAGAAATGCTTGTTAGGGCTGGGGATGCCTTGGTGTTGCGTGCGGGTACGGTTACAGGACAGACTGCCCTCTGTGCCTTCCATTTGGGGTGCTGTAAAGAGAGCTGATGGGAACACTGCACTTCTGTATGGTATTTCAGGTCTAAACAATGTTGAATGAAACCCGTAATATTCCAGATAAAAGCAACCCAACTGAGTCAAATTAAAACCAGACTTCTGTCTTACAGTATGTGAGAATGAATCGGGAAGAACTTGTGCTGCCCTTCAGGGCCAAGGGAAGGAGCTCTTAGCATCATGTAGGGCGGCCTGATCATGGCTTTCTGTCCTCCCTGTAGGTGGATGGGGAGCTGGAGGCACTGCTGGAGAACGGGGAGGGCCTCTCAGACAAGAACCAAGTTCTCAGCTTGTCCCGGCTGATGGTGCGCATCGAGACCCTGGAGCAGAAGCTCACCTGCCTCAAGCTCATCCAGGTGAGCAGCTCCAGGCTGGGGTGGGAAGGAATTGCTGGGTAAGCAGTGCCTTGTAGCCATCATTCGAAGAAGGAGAAAGTAAGATGAAAAGGGTGTCTCAGTGGTGCCAGCACCCCAAGTGTGAGCCGAGCGGCTCTGCTTCATTGATAGATGGTGTGTAATGCTGAGCCTAGTTTTGTGATTCCTCTGAATCAGTGCAGGTCACCTGCAGCCCACCTACAGGGCAGCATGTTACCTCGTGAAGTTTTATTCTGCAGCATGAGCCACTCATTAATAGTCATAAACTTCTGCTGCATGCGTTATTGCCCCCAAAGCAGCAGCCACGTCCAGCTGAGCTGCATCAGACACGTGCCAGTCTTGGCTCTGGCTCTGTGTTTCATGTGGCAGTGAGTCTGACAGGCAGCATTGGCCACCTCAGGGTGTGGATAACAAATGTAGGCTTTGCTGGTGAGTTGCTGACCCTTCTGTGTCACTTTGGCCCACGCAGAACACGCATTCACAGTCCTGCCTGAAGTCCTTCCTGGAGTGCCACGGCTTGTCACTGCTGTGGATCTGGATGACAGAGCTGGGCGACAGCAGGGGAAGCACCGCCAACAACCTCAAGCTGCAACTGGAGGTCAGTGGTTCCCTTAATTCTGTCAGGTTGGAAGCTTTCATAATGATTTTGCTAATTGCTCACAGCACGTCCGTTTAAATATTATGTATGTGATACTATTGCACACCAAGTGTTGGTGCAAACAAACTGCAGGTATCCTCGCAGCCACAGCGTGGAACTCCTGCTTTAAAGGATGTTCTGAATACATGGAAGGAATTTGCTTCTGTGGTTCTTCTTAGATTTCTGAGTTAGTAACATGAGCCAGACTTAAACAGCAGTGGCAGCAATCTATATTTATTCCATACTGAACTACAGAGGCAGTTTGAGGTATTGCTTTGATGGGCTGAAGTGGAACTTTAATACTTCTGTCTTCTATGTGCACTTCAGCATCGCATGCAAAAAAACATCTGGAAGTTCCTTTCTTAAAGATGCATCTACAGAACTTTGCTGTGGATTTCGGAGAGCGTGCCCAGCCTTGAGGGCAAGGACAGAAAACAGAGCTCAGGGAGCCCATCCTATCAGTCACTCCTGCTTCGTGTCCCCGAGGTGGTGGCAATGCCTGGCAGCTCTTCTTCCTTAGCTCAGCATGGTTTTTCTCCTTTAGCATTCTGAATGAGTTGTGCCATCCTCCTGATCCCAAGAGGAATGATGTCTGACAGCCCCATACTGCTGAAGAGATGGCATTGAAGGCAAGCCACCTTTGGCAGCCATATGCTTCTCCTCTTCAGAAGTATCCAGCACACTGTTCAGATTAGGATTTGATTGCCCTGTTGCATTAGGGTAGATTCAGGCACTCAGCATCATTGTTCTCAAAGCCAGAGCTGCTCCCCACGAGTGTTAAGAGGGCATCTGAGTCACTGTGTCATTGGTGGCTTGGTCTCCACTCTTCACGAATCTGATCACACCATGCTGACTATACAGGTTTAAGTTTTATGGCTTTAATATACTCTTAAAATCTGTGCAATTCTTAACAAGTGAGGCTGTGATAAAGGTCAGGTCACACTTTGCATTTTTTTTTTTCTCCTTTAGTTTTTACATTGTTTTAAGAGAGTTGGTCTTTGGTCACCAGCTTCCCAAGGCCAGAAACCAGCACAGTGCCCTAAGAGTATCTTCTGTCCTTTGCTCCTGGAGGACTGATTTTTAAGGAGGAGCAAGTCGAAAAGCTGGGCAACTTCAAGCGCTGGAAAAAGCATGGCTGTGTCTTGCTTCAGAATCAAATCTTCAAATCCCTGTTTGTCAGGGATCTGACCTCTGCTTTTGAGAGAGAGGCTGCTGAGGTCACTATAGTATATATGTTCTGAAGTCTCTGAGATTTTCTTTAGTGCCCATCCAGCCATGTGACAGCACATTTGACCAGCGACTGCTGAGCTGTGCTGGTTGTCCTGGGAATGGCTGTGGCCATCTGTAAGTCCTGAGCTCTTTGAACGTGGCGTATTGCAACTCTGTGCTCACTGCTTTCTACTCCTGGTTTGCTTGCTCTCCAACAAAAAAGTGGAGAAAAAAGGGACGCTGCTGTCCCCAGCTTGTGACCAGGTTGGGTATCAGGGAGAACTTCTTCTCTCAAAGAGTGGTGATGCCGTGGCACAGGCTGCCGTGGCACTGATGGACGTGGTCAGTGGGCATGGTGAGCTGGGTTGGGGTTGGATTTGGTGACCTTAGGGGTGTTTTCCAACTGTAATGATTCTGTTTTATGATCCTGTTCACATCAGTTATTTCTTGAGAAAGGGGAATTGTTCCAGGTGTGAGAGAGCTATGAATTCTGCAGCTCTTAACAGCTGTGACTCTGCCTTTGCAATTAGATTATGAAGACGCTGGAGCTGCTGCCCATACCCACCAAAAACATGCTGGAGGAGAGCAAGGTGCTTCCTATCATCCAACGCTGGGCTCAGACCAAGAGTGCCATCCCACAGCTCAGTGAGGGCGATGGATACTCGAGTGAGAACACGTCGCGCGCTCACACACCGCTCAACACGCCAGAGCTGTCTGCCAAGCAGAGTGCTGAGGGAGACACAGATACCCCCAAGAAACTGGTGTTCCGGAGGCTCAAAATTATCAGTGAGAACAGCATGGACAGTGCCATCTCGGATACAACTAGTGAGCTGGAGGGGAAGGAAGGCAAAGAGGACCTGGACCAGCTGGAGGTTCCCCCGACGGAGGTGTCAGAGGAGCAGCAGCCGCAGCAGGAGGTGAAAATGGCCACGGATCCACCGGTGGAGAGCAGCAAGCCACAGGAGCTGGAGGCTGAGCCTGAAGCAGAGGTCAAGGAGAGCAATGGCACCAAGCTGGAGGAGCCCATCACGATGGAAACGCCATCTCAGGACGAAGAGGAAGGCGTTTCTGACGTCGAGAGCGAGAGGAGCCAAGAGCAAACAGACAAAATTGTGGATGTGAGCGACTTGGCCACCAGGCTGCTCGACAGCTGGAAAGACCTGAAGGTAAGAAGCACCCTGCTGCACCTGCATCTGCAGCACCTCTGCCCTTGCTGAACAACACGCAGCGCTGTTGTGGTTGAGCGCACGCAGGGCTGAGGTGCATTCTGTTGGTAAACTTTGACAACTGGGATTGCCACTTTTATGTGATGAGCTTTTCCAGGTGCTTTCTGTATATAGCCTTTCATTGCAAGCTGCCCTGTCTGTGATTCACAGTAGGCTTTTCTGTGCTGCGCTCTGAAAGGAGCAGCTTAGTATGGCCACCACAAAGGCATCTTAACCACCTAGTTAGAATTTTTAGACTGCTTAGGGAGAGGGCAGCTCTGAGTTCTCAGCTAGTCAGAAAAAGGCTAGCAACAGTGCCACAAGCATTTTTAGTTGGCATGGCCCAGTATCCATCACTGTTGATAGAAACTGATGATCCATCAGCTCTCGAGTTATCAGAAGGTGATCAGTGTTTCCTGTTCTGCAAACATCTGTTTTACATCTGCAATGTAGAAAGCCCCCAGAAACCATTGGTTGGCAATTTCCATTCTCTTGGTGGCAGCTTAAAGCTGGGTTCTCTTCTAGATGTTTGTAGTTGGTGTTTAGATCAGGTGAATACTTAGATTTTTGGATGTTAATCTGAGCCTTTGAAGGTAGCTGCTCGCCGTTTTGCTTCCACTGAGCTCTTCTTAGAGCAGATAACTCAAGAGAAGGGTTTGAGGGCTACTGGTTGCCTTCTCCAGGACTGAGCAACTGTCCCTGAGCACTGTAGATGGCCTTCTTGGCCACTCCAACAGCTCAACAGCTGTAGTCAACAACTATCTTGCATGAGGTTGAGGACACAGATCTGTAACTTGCCACTCCGTGCTTGAGGCATTTTCTGGGGCTTTCATTAGGTCTTTGAGAGCTTTCATCCATCAACTGTTTCTATAGGATTGTATTTCGTGGGAAAACAAAGAGGGTGGGAGCTTTAATTTGTAAGTATTAAAGCAGCATTTGCTGAGGATCCTGCAAAGCCAAGGCAGTTCCCTGCCACGAGGCTCTGAGTGCTGTCCTCACCAACGTCACCAAAGTCAGATGAGAAAAAAGGGACCCTTGCAGTTTCCCAGTGCTGCTGCCCTGCAGCTGAGTCCCTGCCAGACCAAACGAGGATGTCTTGGTGGAGCTCTTCTGCACTTCTCCTAATCAAGCATCTGCCCAGTTTTAATCAGTAATCTTTAAGCACGTTTACATTTTACAGTGCATCAGTTGGGTCAAGAGTTCTTTGCCTATTGAAATGGATAATGCAAAATGATTTAGGTTGATAAAAATGGTTGGTGCCCATAATGCAGTGCCATAATGTGCAGGTGGAGGAGACTGCAGTGAGCTTTGGGTCCTTGAACCTTCACTCGTGTTGTTCAGCTGTCATAGGTGCATTCATTAACATCTGTAAAACATACCTCGAGTTTTACTTAAGATCAATCTTACCTTAATCTCTGAATTTTTCGGAACAATCTCATGCTCTTCAAGTTTTGAAGAATTGTTTGAGCACTGGCACAGGTTGCCCAAGGAGGCTGTGGATGCCCCATCCCTGCAGGCATTCAAGGCCAGGCTGGATGTGGCTCTGGGCAGCCTGGGCTGCTGGTTGGTGACCCTGCACATAGCAGGGGGTTGGAACTGGATGAGCATTGTGCTCCTTTTCAATCCAGGCCATTCTGATTCTGTGATTCATAATCATTTCTCTAAGTGGGAGAAGAAGTAAGCCTTTACTATATAGAATGTGAACTAAAGTGTGTATCTGCAGAGAAGTTATGCTGTGCTTCTTCATGTTCCTTCCCCTCTCCTCTACACGAAGTCGATCTGTGGCATATTGCTCCCTAGGTTTTAACCTGCAGACTCCTTGTGTGTGCCTCATGGGTTATTTAAGTGACACTGTCAGGTTAAATTTGGGGTTACATTGAAACAGAGCCCTTTCTTGTTCACCACTAGTACTTGGGGTTGTTGAAACTGAGAGCTAAGCTAGTTGCTGTGCTGGAGATGCACCTGCTCTGGACCACCCATACAATCCTTTAATTGCAGCCAGAGGTTTTTACATGCTGCAGCGTTTAAACTTCAAGCAGCAGACAAACAATGCTCAAAAGTGCTCAGAAAAAAGTGGGAAGTTGCATAAAATGGGGAACTTCCCTTGAATATTGCTCTGCCATGCTACCACCATGTGCTGCATCCCAGCCTGAGTTATCTCTGGAGCCAGGAGGAGCTCAGGTTGGGCACAGTGGGAGCCCTCAGCCGTCAGTTTGGGATGTAGACTCGCATCCCCTCTGTGTCTGTTGCAAGGGATTGATGATTGTGAGGATGCCACCAACCCACTGCAGCGTGTGCTCGGGGTGAGGGTGTTTGTGGTGTACCCAGTCAAGCAGCATTATACCAAAAAAAGTCATTTTTCTCCTACAAACCATATCCCCATCGTGGCACTCTGAGTTAACTGCTTCTGTCCGCCTTCCACCTGTAGGGACGCTGCCCAATGCTAATGGTGGTGCAGCCTTAAATGACCAAAGGAAGCTGGCTGGGGTGGTTGGGAGGGGGGTCTGAAACCTCGGGACTTAAGCTTTGTCCTCTCCAGTGGTGCTGATGACCCCCTTTGTAATTTCACCCATTTCCATCCAGCTTCTCAGGGCAGCGAGGAGCTTGTTAACATCACCAGCTGACCATGTGTCACCTTTTCTCAACTCCATTTTCAACTCCGTGCTGAAGAAGGGAGAGAACGTAGCGTGCGTGCTGTGAAGAAACGGGAAGATGGTTGGGAAGCTGGATGGTGCATGAGCAATTTAATAGGTGAAAAGAGGACAGAGGTGGTTAACTCAGTGATGCCGACGTTATTTTGGTGCGTCCATTGCCGGCAATGGACGTCGCTCCGAGAAAATCCCCACCCCTGGCACGAAAGGATTAAGTGAGCTATCTTTTTCTATACCTCTACACACAGGCCAGCTGCCTTGGCTCTCAGGGCTGCTCCTTGCCCCACAAGGAGCAATGCCACCGCTGTACATCCACCACATCACACACCCACCACGTCCCACGGGGGAAGTTTTCAGCCTGGGCTGTGTGCCCTGCTCTCCAAACGTGTGGTGAGTGCTTTACCCAGGCTGAAATCAGACCCTGCTGCACCCCAAGGATTGTGCTGTGGTCCTGTGCAGGTAAGGCCTCAAGGACAGCAGTCAGACCCACAGCAGAGCAACACGTGCTGCGATGGTGGAGGGCTCTGGTGCTCTCCCCTCTCGGCATCTCAAAACATCTTCCAGCATCACCCTCACCTTCTCAGTAAGGTTGGCACCACAAAGGGGACGTGCACACCTCTGGTGGCTGAGATCTAAGCTGTTAAGAACCTGTCGTGAAGCTTTTCTCCTTTTGAAGGTTTAAATCTCAGTAGGGGCAGGAGGCACGTTTGGTGTTAAGTGTGCTGATAGTTTGAGGGCTGTCTGCTTATTGGGTTCCATCACCACTTACCCAAAGCTGATCTTCAGATCCAACAGCTCCATGTCCCTCTCCTTAGACATCCAGTGATGGTCTGCTGTCTGCACATCTAAAATCTATCCTTTAAGAGAACCAGAGCTGGATAGGAGTCATAGAATCATAGGGTGGTTTGGGTTGGAAGGGACCTTGCAGCCCACCCAACCCAGCCCAGGTGCTCACAGCCCCATCCATGACCTTGGGCACTGGGAAGGTGGGGCATCAGGGCTTCTCAGGGCAGCCTGTTCCTAACAGTCATAGCTTTGAGGCTCTGCAAACCTTCTTTTTAGTAGTTGGAGAAGATTTTTTTTTAAGAAAAACTTGTTGAGAGATCCAAATGACTTGAATTTTATGGGTTTTAGTGGAACGCTTTTGGCTTCAGGAGTATTTAGCAGTTCAGGGCTAAGGTGATAGCCCCACTGTTTGGCTTTGGCAAGGTGGACTTTCTCTTTTACAGTCAAAACACCCTTTCTGTGAGCATAATTATTAGCCTGATGGGAATAGCAGAGCTTGGGTGGCCTCTTCTCCCAGTCACACACCACACAGCCATCCTGGAGTGACTGGCTACCATCCTGGCACGTGCATCACGTGCCTTAATGAGAATATTTGTTATAACTTCCAGCAGTTCGTGGAAACAATAGGCATTGGTGAGCAGCCAGGTTGTTGCTTGAACTGAGGTTTTTTTGATCTTTACATAAGGAAGGCTTTGGGGTCAGTCCTTATTACCTTGGCACCATCCTATAGCTTCCTGCTTGTGTGCAGGGCTGGAGGTCATAGAATCAGAATGATTTGGGTTATCTTAATGATAATCCAGTTCCAGGTCCCTGCTGTGGTCTGGCTGCCCCCACCAGATCGGGCTGCTCAGGGCTTCATCCAGCCTGGCACTGCACACTTCCAGGGATGGAATGGGCACCCACAGCACTCTGGGCATGCTCTTGGGATGAGCCTCTCTGCCCTGTAGCAGTTGGATTTCTCCAGCTCAGCTCCATCGAGCAGAAATAATTGAGAGCTAATGGAGAAGCTGAGTTAAGCCCATTCTTCCCTTCCATGTGCCATTGTGTCCTTTGAGACTAGAGAGTTCTCTCTTGGCTCAAGGATGGTGTGTGTACACCCAACAGGGATTTTTTCCTTCCTTATGCATGTAACACTCACATCACTTCACTTTCTGCATCTCGTTTTGTGTGTAATTCATTAAAAATGGTTCTCAAAGGTGCAGAGCCCCCTGGGCTGTGCTAGCAGTGCTCCCATTGATTAATGCAGCAGCGAGCAGCTTCCGCTTCCCAGAATAAACCAGGCTCTTCAGAGCGTCTGTTTGGCCACCATCTGCTCTTCATAGCACGGTGCTGACACATCCCTCTGCCTGCTGCTCTTCCCAAGGCTCTGCTGCATCTGCTCTTCCCCAGCCTGATCCTGGCACTCTGCATCCGCCGTCCAGAAATAAACAACTGGCTGCCATGCAGCAGTTCATAATTAGCTCGGATCGTTTTTTTTTTCCAGTAGTTTCATGTTGCATGTTCTGCTGTTTAATAGGAGAATTCTCTTTTGGAGCTGGGAAGACTGTTTTAGCCAATGTCTCTTCTCTTCTTGCATGCTGCTTTATGCTTGAGCAGTCTGGGTTGGCTCACTGGTTCCAGTTCAGTGTGGTGCTGCTACTTGGGAGCCAGCAGCTTCAGTTTCGTTGCCTGCTGCTCTCTGAAGATGAGCTTTCAGGGACTGGTGGTGCAGGAGAGAAGAAAATAAGAGGGAAAAATGCAGCACTTCGGATGCTTTGGGGGCTGTGGAAACTCCTAGCACAAGCAAGAGAGAAAATAGAGTCATAGAATCATTAAGGTTGGAAAACACCACCAAGATCATCTGGTCCAGCCATCAACCCATCACTGCCATGCCTACTCAAGGGGTCATTGAGGTTGGGAAAGACCTCCTAAATCATCAATTCCAACCATCAGCCATCACCAGTGACTGGGGCTGAACAGACACAGGGTTGTGCCTTCCTTTCAAAACCAAAATAGGCATGAGACCCTATTTAAAAGAATCATCTCTGCTTCTATCACATTTTACAACCTACAGCAGCACCTTTGAGGTGATTGTGCCTTGTGGCCAGACCACAACGGGCTTTCTTATCTTTCCTTCATTTCACCAAAGGAAAGTTGAGCTTTTTCAGCCCATGGGGCACACAGTTAGGTTAAAACAGTACAGGTGGAACCTAAACCTGGGCTCTCATTAACTGATGTAGCTAATGCAACATGCTGCAGCTGGGTGACCCCGTGGAGTGGTCGTGTCATTTCCAGCCAGCTTGAATCAAATCAAGGTTGATGGTTAATATTTTGAAAGAAAATGGTTTGTTTTGCTCTGAGATTTTCTCTGAGCTGTTAGCAAAGCAGGCTGGAAACTGGCACAGGTTTGCCAGCCTGAGACCTGACCTTGGTGTTATTTCATCCCTGTATTTCTTCAAAACTAAAGATTATGTAGGGTTGGGAATTGCACAGGCAACATCCATGCCCTGAATTAAAGGAGATTTTGCTGCTGCACTGAAGACACTGTAGTGCTTTTTCCCCCTGAGGCATCATGGTGCTGCTGCTGCCTGTACTCTTGGGTTAGGTACAGAGGACTAATGCTGCTTGCTCATGGAAAAAGTGGCTTTGCTCAGGTTTGGGCTTTGCTGTTGAGCACTGAATGACACTTAGCGAACAAAGCATTGCTGCCATGGAGCAGGAGTCAGGAACCCAGGGCTGCTGGGCTGTTGGGAAGGCACCGAGCCATTAGAAGTGATGTCACACCTTTTAGTGGTGTAGCATCTCTAAAATGGGGCTTAGCAAAGCAACACTCAGCCAAAATCCAAGTGTGTACAGAGTGGGATGTCCTTGATCAACAGCTGCCCTGTTTGGCACAAAAGCCTCATAGACTCCACAGACACAAATTGGTGATGAAGGACAATATATAGAAAGCACCACAGTGTCTTGCTTAAAACTTTGCTTCCAAATACCATTTCTTGGTGTTTGGTTTAAAATTGTGATTGAATTGCTAGAATTCTGATGAGTTCTGATTCTTGCAGCCCTGTAGACTCAGGGATGTTCTTGCTGAAAACCTGGCTCTGTCCTCTGGCTTGTTTTACAGGAGGTGTACCGAATCCCAAAGAAGAGTCAAGCGGAGAAGGAGAGCAGTGGTATGTACTCACATTTTTCCATGTATTCCTAAAAAACAGATTAATTTTCCCAGTGTGTGATGTCAGGAGAGGTTCCCAATTGGTAGCTGAGCTGCTGATGCCACCTCGGAGCCCTAAATCCTATCCAGTCTGCTCCCTAAATCCCTAAAATATCTGATGCATGAGCAGCTGCTAGCAAGGGAGGCGAGATTGGTTTGCAGAGAGGAGCTCTGAGGTGGAGGCTTCTCCCTGTGCTTTGGGCCATGGTCTCATGTGGTCTCGTGGCTGATGGAGGGACAAGCATCACCCATGGAGCTGCACCCAGAACAGATTGTATCACAGCCAAACCCTGGGAAGGCACTGAGTGATCCCAGGGCAGTCGTGAGCTGTTGGCCCCACACCTGGTGACCCACATGCGGGACACATGGACGGAGGTCTTGTCCTGCTGTTCTCTTAAGCTTGGGGCTTCCCTTGGAGCAAATCTCTGCACTGAAGTGTTAACATGCCCAGGAACCATCATTAGAATCAGGAGGAAGTAATGAGGTTGTTAATGCATTTGCTGTGGGAAGAAGAGCCCTTTAGAACCTGGAGTTGAAAACTAAAGTTATCTCTGAGGCTGGAAGCAAGAATGCAAGAGAGCATTTGGGGTTTTTCATCGTCCTGAAAGCTGCTTCTTGAGGCCTGAGCCCTCCAGCTCCATGTCTTTCAGTACAGACTCTGTGTCAATGACAGTAGGCATGGGGAAGTTCTTGCTTTACAGTCAGGTTTCAGAATGTCAGAGCACTACAGGAGAGCTGTGCTAAGGTCTGGAGTCTTTTCCACTCTCAGATAGGTTTCCTGCTGAAAGAATGGGAGGAGGGGAAACGAATGAAATGAGTGATGCATTTTCATCCATTAGGTAACAGCTCAGAAGTTGGAGTAGTGTCTAAAAATAGAAGTGAAAATAGAAGCTTTATTTTAACCTCACTTGCAGTCCTGAGGCTGATTCTGGACAACCTGTAATTTGTTTGAATGGGCGCTCTGTTGGCCGACACAGAGGAACCACTGAAACTCCAAGAGGGAGCTGGGAATATACTCTGAATTATAAAAACTCTCTCTTTTTACCCATTTTTCCCAACAGCTGACCGAGGCAGAGAGGCAGCTGGCCTCAGGGATCAGACTCCCACACCGAAGAACCCCGTCCTGAGCCGCACAGACCCCGAGTGGCAGAGCCTGAGCAAGGAGAAGAAGAGGAGGCGAGACTCGCTGTCCCCTCCGGCATCAGCCTATGAGCGGGGCACCAAGAGGCCTGAGGACAGGCAAGTTGGGCCCTGCCAAGGGTCAAAACAGGGGGAAATTGGCCCTGGTGGCCTCTGCAAACACGCAGGGTTGGGGAAGAGAGCGTTTTGGCTGAATTCTGAGCGGTGAGTTGTGTTAGCTGGGAGTTGTGCTGCTCCTGGGTGTCCGTGGTACTTCTTGTGGCTTCTCGTGCTGCAGTGAGCAAAGGTGTAAAGGGGTCTTCAGTGTTGTAGAATCGTTAAGGTTGGAGAAGAGCTCTGAGGTGATGAAGTCCAACCGTTGAGCCATCACTGGCATGCAAAGAACCACAGAGGTTGGAAAAGATCTCCGATCAAGTCCAACCATCAGCCCATCATGCCCACTAAACTCTAAGCCTCTGCCCTTCTCCCCTGCCAATCCACTTGGGTGTGAAATTCAACTTGCAGCAAGCCCAAGCCAAACAGGATTTCTAACACAAACCAATCTCCTTGGGCAGAACAGACGACCCCCAGTGGCACTTCTGCTGTTGCCATTTTCATTGTTTCTCTCCTGTGTTCTCTTTACTCCTTGTTCATGAAGAGAAAGGATATATTACATGTCTCGTGTTTCAGGGAGACTGCAAATCGTATTAAAGGCAGTACCAAGGAATCTCCTTTACAGAAGTCAGCTTTCCATTGTCCCTCTTAAATAGGATCTAAGGCTACATAGCAATTAGGGAACAATTGCTGGTGAGTCAGCCATGCCAGCATCCTTTTTTCCCTCCTAGTGGGAAAGTTTGAGATGTCTGCATTAAAAACAAGCCAGAAATCTACAATACTGTAATTACCCATTTGGAGGATGTAAACATCACGGAGGGCTGGGGGCAGAAGGAGAGAGCTGAGTAAGTGCATTGTTTGTGGAGACAGGAGAAAGGATGAAGGGAATCATAGAATGCCCTGGGTTGAAAAGGACCACAATGCTCATCCAGTTCCAACCCCCTGCTGTGTGCAGGTCACCAACCAGCAGCCCAGGCTGCCCAGAGTTACATCCAGCCTGGCCTTGAATGCCTGCAGGGATGGGGCATCCACAGCCTCCTTGGGCAACCTGTGCCAGTGCCTCACCACCCTCTGGGTGAAAGTGGTGTGCTCAGGTGAAGGAAAATAGGCTGGAGGGGTGCAAACAAACAGCTCTTCACCAAGCAAGGTAGGAAGATGTGAGCAGAAGCTTTGGGAAGCTGCAGCCCACGCCTGGAGTTCCCAGCAGTCCCAGGAGTGCTGCCTTTTCCCTAAGCTTGCCTCAGTTCTCCCTTAGGTACATTTGTGAAGAAGGCTTACAGCAGAACCACAGTGATGGGAGTCTTGAGTGCAGGAGGAAGGGATGGAGAAGGAGTATGAAGGATTGGACGAAACAGAAAACAGGGTAGAAGAAGAAGGATTGCATGAACACAGAATGCTGCGACTCCCTCTCTGCTTAATCCTCAGTTTTCCTCTGTCTGTCCTTCCTCGCCAGCTGCCTCCCATGTAAACTCCTGAGGCAGTGCCAGGAAAGACTTTAATTACTTAAATTGAGCTCTTCATGTCAATAAGGTTCACATTAACAGATGCTTGCAGCTACTCTGGGAATGTGAGGAAACTTCTTAAGTGTTGGTAGCAATGTGCTTTTGATATGTAAATTGAACACATGAACTCCAAGTTAGTATATTAAGAATATATGGGATGCTTTGTAGAATCCCACTTCTCTTAGGGCTGCAAAACATTTCTGCTTGTAATCCCTGTTTTACCACACTCGTAACTTCTCAAAATATCCACCTTTGATCTGAAGTTTTCCATGGTTGAGGTCTGATCAAAGTCCTTAGGCTTCTTTTTTTTTTTGTAATATTTTAAGTCCTTGGAAAAATCCCTGCAGCTGCTCTGCATCTCAGGGTGAAAATTCTCACTCTTTAAAAAAAAAAATCCATCCACACTTTATTATATTTTTTTCAAGCTAAAACTGTGGTCTAGTAAATAGCAAAACTCTCAACTGCAGTGTGTTGCTTGCAATTCCATTGTTCTTAGTAATGTCTGCACATCTGTCTGGAGCACAGGAAGGGCACATGGCTCTGTGTGCTTGGGGCTCTGCCTGCAGTGGGGGGGATGCGGGGGCTCGGCGTGGCACAGCTCAGAAGGTGATGTCCACCTGGAAGCTGAATGAACTGAGGCAAGGAGATAAAGCTGTGGGATGTTTGGAGTGCCTTGCTCCTGCTTTTTGGAACCTGGAGTGGAGAATTGAGCACAGGCTGAAGCAGTGGTACCCAGCCTGTCTGAGGGCTCCTTGCTGCTTTTGCCCACGCGTCTCTGGGTTCTGTTAGTCCTAGGACTGCTCAGGGCAGTGCCCCATCCTTGGTGCTCCCTAAAGCCAGGCTGGATGGGGCCCTGGGCAGCCTGAGCTGGAGGGGACAACCAGCCCATGGCAGGGGTTGGGACTGCAGGGGGGAGGAGGTTTAGGTTGGATATTAGGGGGAGGTTTTTCACCCAGAGGGTGGTGAGGCACTGGAACAGGTTGCCCAAGGAGGCTGTGGATGCCCCATCCCTGCAGGCATTCAAGGCCAGGCTGGATGTGGCTCTGGGCAGCCTGGGCTGGGGGTTGGTGACCCTGCACACAGCAGGGGGTTGGAACTGGATGAGCATTGTGGTCCTTTTCAACCCAGGGCATTCTATGATTCTATGATTCCATGATTCTGTGATCTTTAAGGTCCCTTCCAACCCAGCTGTTCTCTGATTCTGAGGTTCCTCTTCTCTCTGTTGCAGGTATGACACGCCAGCATCCTCAAAGAAGAAAGTCCGCCTCAAGGACCGCAACAAGCTGTCGACAGAGGAGCGCAGGAAGCTCTTTGAGCAGGAGGTGGCCCAACGAGAGGCCCAAAAGCAGCAACAACAACTGCAGAACTTGGGCATAACTTCCCCCCTTCCCTACGACTCCATGGGCTACGGCACACCGCACCACAGCTTCATCGGCTACCCGCCCGGCTACCCCATGCAGGCCTACGTGGACCCCAGCAACCCCAATGCGGGCAAGGTGCTGCTGCCCACCCCGAGCATGGACTCTATGTGCTCCCCAGCAGCATACGAGCACCCTCAGCCCATGGTGGGGCACACAGTCGAACCCACCCTGCCCACTCCCCAGCCTGTCCCAGTAGTCCAACATGTAGCAACGCCGATGGAGGTGACGACTCCTCAGTATGTAGCACAAAACGACGCCGTGGTTCACCAGGAACCCAACGTGGCCGTCCTGCCCGTGCCCACCACGGGACCAGTGCAGGGGCAGAGCTACGGGGTGTGGGATTCCAGCCAGCAGACTGTGGCCGTGCAGCAGCAGTACTCGCCAGCCCAGTCCCAGCCTGCCATATATTACCAAGGCCAGACCTGTCAGACTGTTTATGGGGTGACGTCCCCCTACTCGCAGACGACCCCGCCGATTGTGCAGGTAACCCATGGGGGAAGGGTGAGCTTTTCAGGCACAGTGTGGCACAGAGCACCCGCAGAAGGAAGGGAGCCAGCCTGCAGCTGGAATGCTGTGCGTGTTCACAGTGTGCCAGGGGCCATCCTGATGTGCTGTAGTGTTGGGCAGCATTGCTGAGATAACTCCATCTGAGAGTCTGTATCAAGCACAGGTTTGCTTTGTGGTTACTGCTGCTTGACTGGGATGTGATCTCCCATAAGGATTCCTTCCCCCTGATGGGTGCATCACTCCCATCAGTCCCCATCAGTTTTTTCTTTTAGTGTGTACTAATTTGCATTTCAGATTATCCAGTGATGGTGTTCCTGCTGCACATCTTGCTAGCTTCTTTCCAGTGAGGGGCATCACAGATTGCTTTAAAAAGAACAAAAGTGGAACTTTGCCATTCTTTTGGTCTGGAATTCTTCCTGGTTGATGGCTTTGAGCACTGAAGCTCAGTGTCACCCAGTCTCACTTTCCTACCTCTCATGGAGGAGACACATTCTGAATCTCAGTGCCTGGAAAGGAAAATGTCCATGTCTTCCAGCACTTTGGGGTTCTCTCTTTTACCTTTTCTGTATTTTGCCACCTTAAGGGATTTTTGAATTTTGGATGAGTGCAGACCCGGAGGTGCTGCAGTGAGGCTGAGTGGAGTGCTGAAATCTTTTTGTTCTGAGTTTCTCTTGGCCTCCCAGTGATTTCACAGAGAACCTCACTTCGATCAGAATTGCTCTGCTTTGTCTGTGGACCATCATTGCACATTGGGAGTGAGGTGAAGCAGTAAAGGTGGGGGTTTACCTAAAGGAGGATGCAGGACTGCCAGCTGCTTCATGTTCTGTCCTAACTCCAGCTGTGGGCAGACCTCAAGGTCTGTTGTGGGATACAGGCTGTGTCCCAGTGGCAAGCACTGATGCAGTCCTGCTTTACAAGCTGTGAGATATCCACTCTCATTTGGTGTGTTAGAAGATTTCTCCATCGTACACACACTGGGAAATAGTCTTTTGTGCTCAGCATTGCACTTTCTTCCACTGTTGATGGAGCAATTGTCCTGTGCAAGTGATTTCCTTTGAAAGCTGTAGGTTGGATGTTCTGTATCCTCTTTGGCTACCCCAGGGGAGGATGCTGACCCCAACCCCTTGTTCTCCATTGCAGAGCTACGCCCAGCCAGGCCTGCAGTACATCCAGGGGCAGCAGATCTACACAGCCCACCCGCAGGGAGTGATCGTCCAGCCCCCTCCTGCTGTCACCGCCATCGTGGCAGCTGGGCAGCCACAGCCCATCCAGCAGGTATGGCTCACTCTGGGGTTGGGAATGGATGGCACTGTTTGAGCTGCTCGTCTCTGCATGGACTGGGGAACTGTCCTGCCCAAAGCCCCATCCCTGGAGGTGCTCAAGGCTGGGTTGGGTGGACCCTGGGCAGCCTGATCTGGTGGGTGGCAACCTGCCTACAGCAGGGTTGGGGCTGGATGGGCTTTGAGATCTCTTCCAACTCGAGCCACGTTGTGATTCTGTGGTTCTGTGACCTTTAAGGACCCTTCCAACCCAAGCTGTTCTTTGGTTCTGTGATCTTTCATAGAACCTTCTACCCAACCACCTGCTATCTAAGAGCCCTTCTGACAGAGTGCTTGTATTCATATGGTCAGGATGTGAACAAATAGCTACCATTGGATAGAAATGGGTGAAATGATCTACTGTCACTTCCTGGGTCAATGCTGATGTCCTTTTTGAGTTTTACCTTCGACAGAGGCTTTGTTGCAGGGAGACAGAGCTGTCAGACTGCTCTGCTCTGCCCTCTGACATTGTTGCCTGTGTGTTTTCAGCCAGAGCTTGTGGTGACCAACAACCTCCTGGACCTGCCTCCTCCATCCCCTCCCAAACCCAAAACCATTGTCCTGCCTCCCAACTGGAAAACAGCCAGAGACCCCGAGGGGAAAATCTACTACTACCATGTGGTAACGAGGTAAGTGATAATGAGGTAAGCATTGGGTGGGTGGGGAACAGATGGGTGCACAGGCCAGGTGGGGTGCTGCTCTGCTTGAGTCTTTCTGTGACATGGGGACACGTTGAGCTTGATCACAGTGTCATTAAGGTTGGAAAAGAGCACTAAGATCATCGAGTCCAACCTTACCTGTCAGTGAGGAGTGCCTCCTTCATCATTCCTCTGCAATTACACCAGAAATTGCTGATGGAGTGAATCTGGAACTTTTTTAGAGGAACACATGCTGGGAGATTTCCATAAATCCTTCTTTTGGCATATCTTCAGATTGGACAGGGCCAGTAGAGGAAAGGAGATCTGACTTCTCCATGCATTTTCTTATTTGAGTATATGTTTCCATATTTGAATTATTCGTTTTAGCAGTTGAATGGTAGTTATTTGACATCATGTACAGTAATTAGCATCTGGAGAATTAAGTGCTGTGCTGAAGCACACAGAGCTGCTTGGAACAGGCACGATCCCATGGCTTTTCCTTGAAAGCAAACCTGAGAGGCTCAGAGTGCTGACTCGATGCAGAGGAGCTCATGTCCCACCTTACAGAGCTCACAGCTGGGAAATAATTGCTGTGGGAGGTCACCTCTGTACCTAAAGATGCTGCTGCAGGGCTGGGCTCTTCCCATCCCTTTTGTTCAGTCTGCTTTTCAGGTGGCCTGAGAGTCAGAGCAAGCTGTGATGCTCTCCTGATGCACAGACGAGCTGAGTGTCATCTGTGTGTTGAGCCTTGCAGGTTCTTTATTGGGGCTTTTCTCAAGACTTCTGCTCTGCATCCTTTCTGCTGTGAGATATTTTCGGGTGTTGTTGCCTTTTATCCTGCAGAAACAGACATTAAACCCATCCCTTAGTTCTGATGGGATGTCTCCTGCCTTTTCTCACCACAGCCATGGACATTCTGTGTTTCATGTCCATGGCCAGCTGCCCTTGGTCCCAGTGGCAGAAAATGGTACAAGCTCTCTTTTTTCAAATGGCTCCTTTTCTGAGGATGCTGTGATCTGTTTGTTCTCCAGGCAAACCCAGTGGGACCCTCCGACGTGGGACAGCCCAGGGGATGATGCCAGCCTGGAACACGAAGCTGAGATGGACCTGGGGACCCCAACATATGATGAAAACCCAATGAAGGTAAGCATGGAGTCAACGAGGGAAGCTCACTGCCAACATCTTGGTGGCCCACATGGATGATCCTGGGCTTGCCAGCTTGCCAAAGCAGCCTGTGTGCATGCTGCAGAGTGGTGGCTGTGGGATGGTGACAGTGGGACAGCAGCGACCCAAGATGAGCCATAACAGCTGTGCTGGCCATAGGCTTTATGGGCTTCAAAATGATGCTGTAGGATCAAGGAAGTTCTGTTGTTTTCTCAGCACTTGGTGCTTTTTGCAGTCGGCTGGGGGTTCCCTTCAGGTCTGGGGTCTCAGCTTTCTTCTGTGTTGGATCTGAAGAAGCTCCTTGGCACTGAGATGGGAGCAGATGCATCTCCTCGATGGCGTCTCACCTGCAGGCAGGATGTCTCTGGCTGCCACACTGCACGTGTCTGGCCATAGGTTTGAGGATGGAAGGACCAAACCAGGTGTTAAACCCCACTGCCATCCTCCAGGCAGCTAAATCATGCTGTGGGTGTGCCCTGTGGCACTGTGGGGCACAGAGAGTAGCCGTGGAGAAAGGGTTTGTTGCTGGGTTGTGATTCTGGGAGCAGTTCCCATCCTCTCCAGCCATGCTGTTACAGGGCAGAGTCTTTGTGCTGCTGACAAAGCCACGTCTCCCTGCTCTGCTGCAGTCACTTTTCCCAACTCTGTTTCCTTGCTGGGATGCTGAGGGTTAATTCAATTCGTGTAATGCCTCCAAGCACTTCAGTTGGAATTCTTGGAGAGCTGACTTAAGCAATATTAATTGCAAATATTTATCTGCCTATAAAAATGTTAATTAGAGAACGAATGAAGGCCTGGCACACAATGCCTCCACCATTGAGTGTTTGCTTCTGTGACATTGCAGAGGGGTCCAGAGGAGCTTCCTAATGGATTTTGTGCCTGAGTCTGCCTGTTCTGGGAGCCATGGGACCTTGCTGCAGAGGAGCACAGTGAACAGTCACATCCCCAAAGCTACATGGGCACATGTGTGCCTTGGGGCTGCAAAGGCTGCTGAGCTTCTAGGTCCTCTGGGGCACACATTCAGTACTATGCAGTGAGTTTCCACTGCATCTCCCCCTGGCTGATTTCTCTTGCTCCCTTCCTCCTTCCCACTCCATCCCCAGCATGGTTTTCCACCCCCTAGCATCTCAGGTAGGATATGAGGAACAATTTCTTCTCCAAAAGAGTGGTGATGCAGTGGCACAGGCTGCCCAGGGAGGTGGGTTGGGTCACCATCCCTGGAGAAATGGCACAGAAGGATGTAGTCAGTGGTCATGGTGGGGTTGATTGGGGTTGGGCTTGGGGACCTCAGAGGTCTTTTTCAACCTTAATGAATCTGCAGTTCTGTGATTCTGTGTCCCATCCAGCCCAACTCTGCTCTGCAGCCTTTCTGTAGGGCAGTGAAACTTGCATTATGGATGTCCTCAAAGCACTGCGTGCCTTTATTTTTTTGCATTTCCTTGCCTTGCAGTTTTCCTGGCAGGCAGCAGTGCTTTGGAGAAATTCAGAGGAATGAGCTGTGGTCAGACCAGGGCAGGCCAAAGCCTTGGAACAATCTCTGAGTAATGGTAACCACAGCTTTCTGTCGTTGCACTGCAAGCCCATTGCTACTGTACTTCTGTCCTAAGTGCAGCTCTCGAGCAGCAAGCTTTCAGTAAGGCTGAAATCAAGATAAATCTTAGCATAGGCAGAAATTATCACCTTTATACCAATAGCACCTAAGCGTTTCTTGTCTTCACTCTTGCCCTGATGCCACAGGGATTCCCCCCTGCAGAGCAGTGTTAAGCTCCCATCCTCCACTGTGCTCTAACTCAGAGGTAACCATTGCAGTCTGCACAACTCACAGGGCTCTCCTGAGCTGGGAAATCAGCTGGGGTGCCTGCACAGCCCCTCGTAGGACCACATCCCTGCCCCTGGCTGCTCAGTGCCTGCGTTGTCATTGAGTCATGAGTTGGGAAGAACCTCCAACATCACCGAATCCAACCTCAGCCCACCCCCACCACGCCTGCATCCCTCAGTGCCACATCTCCAGGGTTCTGAACACTTCAGGGACAGTGACCACGACCTCCCTGTGCTCTTTCTGAGAAGGAACCATTGCTGACACTCCACCACAGTTGTCTCTTGGGGATTGCCCTGCCACACACCCACTGGCAAGGCATTGGCTTCCCCTCTGCACTGGGGTTGCTCACCCCATCATTTTTTTCCGTGGAAAGGGAAAGGAATCCTGCCTCAGCCAGTGGCAAAAAAAAACGCTGAACTTGAGAATTCTCATCAAAGCAGACAACCAAAGGTTTGTCATTTTTCCATGAACGCATCATCCGGCTCCGCTTCAGCCACCCAATGAATGCGAGTCGTTGGGGCTCCCCAAGGGCCAAATCAAAATCCCCTTGTTGCAGAACTGACCTGCACAGAGAGGCTCAGCCTGCAGTGCTGAATGTGGGTGGATGGCAGCAGCTCAAAGCTGTGACCCGGGCAAGCGTGGGAGCTTGGGATGTCAGTGGGGTTGGGCCTCAGTTTGTTTTCTTGCACTGGGCTGTGCTCTCCTGGCTGACTTTGGTGCTGCTCTCCATTCGTGATCTGACATCCCTGCCTTCCAGCTGTAGCCAGAGCCTGGGACCCCACAGCCAGGCTGAGGGAAGAGGACTGGGGCTGCCCAGGTGATGCTGCTGGCTTTTGTCTTCCATCATTTGCTCCCATGTGCCTACGCTGCTGTGGCTGCTCTGGAAATCAGCTGTGGCCTCCCTCTGTCTGCCTCTGGCTGCGTTGGGGGTATAACAGAACCTGGAGGTACAAGGCTCACGTGAGGGTTGTTAATGCAGAGCTGAGGCTTGTTGGAGCTCGCACCCTGAGCCCTGAGGGGCCCTGCTGGCTGCTCCCCACTCTGCGGCCTCTGTGCTCACAGCTGTGCCTCTAAAATAGCTGCAGATAGCTCCAGGAACCGGTGTGGCCGGGCTGGGAGGAGGGAGGGGATAGGCTGCACTCCCCTTCTGGGTTTGGGCAGAGGGAAAGCAGCAGCAATCAAGGAGCCTTGGGTCCTCAGTGGGGGAGGGTTGGCTCAAACCACCCCATTGCAGTGCTCTCCTCTGTAAGGTGTCTCTGGCTCGGTTAGAAACTCACTGCCAGACTCCTGGGGGCTCATGGATAAACCCTGGCTGAATGGGAAACCCATTTCCCTGCTGCCATCCTAGTGCTGCCATCCTAATGCTGCCATCCTAACGCTGCCATCCTAATGCTGCCATCCTAATGCTG